AATAATACAAAATGGCCGTTACATGATTTTTAAATTGGAAATTTTAAAATGGAATTGAATTTCAATATAAGGCAATTCTTACATTCCTACTGTATTTAATAATCAATTCATATTTATTTATTTGTGAGTTAACATTAAAATTAATTTTGAAATTAATTAAGAATTGATTCGCCCTAATTAATTAATATTATTCTCCTAAAGGCTTTAATAAAGTTCTATTAAAAAAGTTTTTAAATAATAAATAAAATTTTAAATTAAATTTTCTAAATAGTTTTTGATAATATTTCATATATTTAAATTAAATAATTATTATAAATATGAAATATATCTTTTAAAATTTTCTAAATTATTTTTTCTGAATTTTTTTCTGAATAAATAATATATCTTCAAATTTTCTTAATTTTGAAAGATTTATTATTTATTTAAAATAATAATTTTTACAAGAACAATTTTCTACTTAAAGACCAGAAGGGTATTGCCTGATATTATAGTATGTTTAAAAGGTTTATGTAAATGCCCTGTACTTGCTCGATTTACATACCAACCTCAACAATTTACTTTAATAATAATAAGTGTTCTTTACCTCTCGTTATTAATTTATAATTTATTTATTATTATTTAGTAATATTTAAATACTTTTTGACATTAACTATGATTTAGAATGCTCAATGTCCGTCTTCAATCTTAGTGGAAGAATTGGTTATAGTGAGGAGCTGACGAATAATGTAAGTCTAAGATGTGTTAAATTTGAATTCAGGTTTATCGTTAATCATTTCAATTATAATCTTAAGTTTTTATTTAAAACGAATATAAATGGCATAGGAAATGTGTTTCTTATTCTTGTAAAATACTGGCATACATTGTTTTATATTCAGTATATCCCTTAAAAAATTTCTTTAACATTGTAGTTCTTTAAGATACTATTAGATCTTCAGTTTATAGGTTGTTGGAAATTTACTTTCAATTTTCTGAAAAACGACAATTTGAAAAATCTTATTATCATTATATGGATCTCTAGGGTATCCATTTAGGCCTTATGGCCCATTGTGTTGCCATATATAGAGGAAACTCAAAGTTTGTTATTATTATAATATTAATATTAAAATTCATAACAGGTCGTTAATTGAATTGGAAGGAATGCTTTCAGACAAAAGAATTTCAAAAATGTTTGTTTGTATTATGCCTGTATTATTACTTTTCTGGTTAAAAATGTATTCATCATTGAAGAATATGTCTACAAAAACTAAACTATCTCTGATATATGTCTTCTATATGCACGAAATATAGTAATTCGGCTCAACTCAGTTAAAAGAGCGATTTATGTTTTTATACACACATATACGATTTACTACTACAGAATAATAAGAACTAAAAAATATTTGTCTTACAACAGTAACAAATAATGGTATTTTATAGATTGTATATACCAAGCCCGTAGCCAGAACTCTACATCAGGAGGCTTTTAAATAATTTAAGTAATTTAAGACAAAAAAAAAAAGAATATAAATATGTATAAATATATTTCTTCGATTCATTTTGGGAGGTGCTTTAAGATTTTTTCCTGGGTACGTACCTGGCATGCACCCACTAAACTATATTCACTTGCTGTTTTCGATTCGTAAATCTATACAGACTTGAACATTCGTAAATCTATAAAATTCGACTAGACGATATTAACTTCGGTTTTACCGAAATGAAATCCCTTCTAGCCGAAATGTTATTCGTTTTAACCGAAATGAAATTCGTTCTAACCAAAATGAAAATCGTTCTCCCCGAAATGAAATTCGTTTTAATCGAAATAAAACTGTTCTACACAAAATAATATCCGCTTAGATGAGATAAAATTCGTTTAATTAATATAATTGGGAAATTGAACGAAGCAATTCCATTTACCTTAAGTTTCTTATATAGTGAAGAAGTGTGTTTGTAGGAAAAAGGAATTTTATGACTACATCTAATTACTGAAGTATCAATCTTAACAAATATCCTTTAGATAATAGATAAGAATCTCTCTGGCATTTAAAGTCAATCGAAGCGGAAGGAAACCTATTGGTTCACATATACCAAATATTCAGATACATAATTTCTATAAGTTCACATATACCCAATATTCAGATATATAATTTCTGCTTTTATTCAGATAAAAAAATATGCGTATTCTGTAAGTACAGATATCTACATATCTGAATTGGAAAAGGATATACTAAACATACCTAAACTGTCATACAAGAATCATATTTGTAGTTAACAATCTTAAAAATATTTTAATTATAATAATAGTTTAAAATATATATTTTTTAATTTCTAGTAAAGATCATCAAGTCATGATGAGCCTAATAATACTACAATATGCCATGATAATCACAATATTAATTTGCACAAAATATTATTTAATGCTCGCTTCATTAAATTTTTATCATTAACGATATAGCATTCAGGGCCGATTTTAAAGTCGTCACTTGTTATTGTTTTTAGAACTTACGAAAAGCTATCAAGCAGATAACATGAAAGGAAATACAAATATGTACACATGTGTTAGGATATGGGTAGGTGATGGTAGTGTGAGAGAGAAGGGGTTGAAAAGGATTTTAATTTGAGTTAACTTAAGTTAAGGCGAAAAAATCGAGACAATGCGGCAGGTCTAAAGATCAATTGAATTTAAGTTGCACATTGAGACATGGAAACAGATTGGCGACATCATACATTGTAAATGGAAGGCGTCGTTCTTTCCAGGAGATATTTAACAGAAGCCTATTGAGAATTCTGTTACAATGCAACAGAGGTCTCAAAGAAAATACTGCATATGTGTGATGGAAGGGTGTTAATTGACCTCACTGAGTTTAGCTCTGTTTCAGTAGATGTCGATGTACTCCTGATATGAAAAAGGGAATCGACGAATGCAGCTTGGAAATAGAATTCTAGTAAACATTATTGCCATTGAGGTTTTCAACTCTGTGTTATTCAAGACAGAAGCTATTATGTTTGTTTACTAGAAGTATTTTAGATTATGTAGGAAGGTGGTCAACATGCGATGGCAGTCTGTTCCAATCCAAAAGCCCGTGTTTTGACAAGATTGAATGTTATTCTAAGTTTGCATCTCGCAAAGTCGTAAGTTAAGTCTCAATACTGACCTAAATCATCAATTCGTTGACTTGATTCATACTTAAGTCAGTATTTGAAGTTGTGACTGTGAAATCGTTCTTTAATGCATTAAAAAAAATTATGATTATTCGCATAACTGTCGCAATGATTCTTGTATGATGAAACTTATCATCCAATACGTACATACATAACGTATAAATGATTGAATTATTAATCTACATTATAAAAAATATTTATAATTTGTGAACGTTTTTAAATATTTTCTAAAATAGTGAGATTTAAAAACAATTCACAAATAATATTAAAAATATTTCAGGGAAAAAAATTTCAATCCATTTAAAATCATGTAACGCATTCTGCAAGATCTTTACATATATGTTCAACATATTAATTTATAAATTGTTTTTCCTCAAATTTTGTTACAAAATAGTATTAAATATTTTACTTTCTAATAATATATAATATTTTTTTGTCAATATTTCAATATAACTACTTTTAATTAATTATTTAAATAAAAAATAATTTTTTTTTCATTTTCGAGATATAAAGGAATTTTAGTTTTTTTTTTTTATTTTCTTTCTTTTTGATTGGTTGTAGGGAGCAAAAAATTACTATATTTATTTTATTTGCAATTAATTTTTTTACATAAAAAACTATTTAAAAATTTTACTTCATTTTATTTTAATTCTGTTTTTATTTTATTTTTACAAAATAATTTTATTTTCATTGCATTCATTTTTTAGTTTTTGTTTGATGTTCGTTAAGAAATTTACAATAATTTTATTACATATATATATATATATTTTTTTTTTTGCTTTTTTAAAAAAACATATCGACTCTTAGGAAAAATAAAAATTATAAACTAGAAGAAGACGATGACTTACAGTGATACCATTAAAATACTGTGCTACACTGTCACCTTTACGTTATATGTATTATAATTCGCAACATTGAAAGTTAAATTCGCTACTAAACAACGTTCTTTATAGCACCACAACTCACTGTACATAAAAATTTAACAACGACAATAATCATTAATCATTAATCATGCAATAAAATACAACTCAACAGTTTCCAATTAATTCTCCTTTACTTACACATACAAAACAATTTTTAGGCTCTTATTAGTACATAAAAAGTTTAGTAACAGCACAATAGTAGCAATAGTAATAAATATATATTCATATATATAATATATATATATATTTGTATACATATATTGTATTATGTAGTAATAAAATATTTTTTAAATATAGAGTACTAAAAGTATAAATTTGAAATTGGTATCTAGCTACATTCATTTTGATAGTTTACATCAATTTCGTTTGTTTTTTATTTTCTTGCTTTTAGTTATATTATTAAATAAATTTTCTCTCAGTATAGTGCGTTAAAAAAATGTTTTATAAAAGTGTATTAAATTTAGTTTTTACTGAATTTAAGTTTTCTTTTAACTTTGGGTCATTACTGTTTCAGAGAAGAAATACCTTTAAAAGCGCATTTTTTAGTTAATTTTTTTGTTTTTTTTTCTGTTGTAATAAAAATATTTGATATAATTTTTGTATTAATGTTTTGACAAACATCATTTGGAATTATATATTGCATACTGCAGGATATTTTACATAATTTTTTAAGCGATTTCTATTTAAAAAAATTGTTCTTAAATTCAACTAATTCAAAAAAATTATGCCATTTGCAAATATGGCCAAAATTGCTCAAAAATTATTTTTTTGTTTTTTGTTTTATATTAATTTGCTATTTTTATATAATTCGTAAATAATTATAGTAAAATAATATTTTATTTTGACTACAAACTTATATATATTATATATATTTTTGTGTATATAATTGTTGATAATTTCCTAAAAATTTACATTGATTTAAATTGGTTAATAATTCAAAATGAAAATTACCAAAAAATAAAAAAAATTGAAATAAAATAATACAAATTTTCAAAAGTAAAGTTTAAAGCTTTTTAGCGCCCAATTTCATTGGACCACTATTACGTTGCGCTCTTCTTGCTTCTAATTCACGTTGCCGTTGTAATTTTTTCTCCTCTCGCTTTCGGCGCGCTTCATCAAGTTTAGGATTACCTATTTAAGTTAAAAAAAAATAATTTCATTAAAATATTTTTTTATATAGATTCAATTCCTATTATAGTAAAACTCACCAACAGCATCATCGATTGGCTCAAATTCACCATCAGCCCAAGAATCGCTATTCCAATTTGCGTTATTCGTTGAATTATTCAGATGTGGGGGACTTATATTATTACAATTCGCAAATGACGTTTGCGTTGTAGATATATTTGGTAATTCTTTTGGTCGTAAATTTAATGCTTTTTGCTTCGATGGTGATGTTATCAAATTGTGTGAATTTAATTTCGCCAGCGGTTCTATAAGTTCATTTATCTGATGTTGTTTTAATTGCTGTTGATGTGACCGTTGCTGTTGATGATTAGGAGATTGTCGTGTTAAAGATTGCTCTTGCCGCACTTCTTGTTCCTCTTCTTCTTCTTCCTCCTCACCCTAAAAAAGTAAATAGTAAACAATTTATTATGATAATTTAATAAGAATTATTATAAAAAAACATACAGGATCTTCTTCTAAACTGCCCCATTCTTCATTATCCCAACCATCTCTGACTTCGGCAATTACAGCTGTAACAGTCAATTGCCCATTGTTTGAGGTACTTGCCATTGGACTTGTAGGATCTTGTGATGTCTAAGATATTAAAAAATAAAATCAACAACAAATTTAAATAAAAATGAAATGAAAATAGTATGGGTTCTCTTCTCCTATGAATATGGATGTTAGGTCTGAAACAAAAGTTCATAGCGTTAGCATAAATTGGCGCACATAGGTTTCTTTATACATTACAAAACAGCAGAACTCTTGTTTAAGACAATTCTATACAAATAAGTAATGAAAAACTTACATCCATTTCTCCCCAATTTTCATTATCCCAATCATTATTTCCATAATCCGATGCAGATGCTGAAGTTTCATTGCTTTCATGTTCCAGTGATGTCATTGAAGTTACACTTGACGTTGTGGTTGATAAACTACTACTTGAAGGTTGCTCTATAAAATACATATGAATAATGAAGTTAATATTATAATATAATATGTAATTATAATGATACATAATATTTATGAAATATATAATAATTAACAATATATAGCGGTAAAAAGTATATAATAATTAAAATATATAATATATATCAAATATATAATGCACTTAAAATATATAATACATATAAAATATATAATATATATAAAATTTATAATGCATTTAAAATATATAATAATTAACAATATGTAACTATAAAAAATATATAATAATTTACAATATATAACGATAAAAAACATATATTTTACAATATATAATGATAAAAAATATATAACAATTAAAATATTATAATATAACGTGTATTAACAGCAAATACTATTTATAAAATATATTATAATTAACAAAATATATCTTTTAAAAATATATAATATAACAATATATAATAACAATATATAATAATTAAAAATATTACTATTATAAACTTATATATACAAGTGTAAAATATTATGTCCAAAACATAGAATATCTAGAATATACCTAAGGATGCAGGTTTTGATAAATTGCGACCAGTCAATGGCGGTCTTGGTCTTGAGGAATCACTTTGGCTACGGTAAAATTTCGCTGTTACGGCAGTTACTGCCCACCCTGCCCATGTAGCAGCAGCATTGCCTATCGAAGGTGTAGCGGTATGCACATCAGCCTCTGTTAGAAAATAAAAAAAATTATTATTTATTTTATACTATAGTTTAAAAAATACTATGCACCGCGACTCAGACGGTCTATTAGGTGCTAAAAAAGACTGAAGTGAAGAACAACTCTTTGATATTTAACAATACTTTTAAAACAATAACTTTTAAATAAATATTTAATTTTCGTTACTGCTTTCATTAAAAAAAAACATTAGTATTCTTACTTTATATATATAATACAAAAAAAAGTAAGTATTTATAGTTATAGTCTTTATATAAAACAAAATTGCTGCAATCTTTTATAGAAAATATATATAAATAAGACTATAGATTATAATATGTGTTGAATTTTGTTTACTTACATTTAGAGTTTATCTTCTCTTTAGTATTCTTGTCATAAACAATATTAAAATCAAACATACCCATGGTTTCACGCAAACTTGGATCTTCTGATACTTTTTCCAATTTTCCTAAAAATCCCTTTATCGTCTTAAAAGCCGGATCTCTAACAGTTTTCTCAGGATCAACGGTAAGTGAACACAATGATGGTAAGACACGATTTGCTACTTCACTGTAATAGTATTTAAAAATTGTTATCAATGAATATAAGTTTTAAATACATATATAAGAATAAAGAAAGAATAATTATTATTATAGAATATATAAGAATAATTATTCTTTTAAAAGACATTAAAATTCTGTTTTAGTAATATGATGTATATGGATAGAAAAGCATACGATATTTGAGCTTATTTTAAGAGTAAAAATAATAGGAAGAGTTGAACTCCAATGAGTGGAATCAATTTTTATTTAATTTTCTTGAAGTGTTAAGAACGATTATTTTTTGAACTAAAAATACGACTGATACGACTAATCGGAATATACGTTGAAAAGCTATTTCTTACTACACATGGGAAGCAAATTTATAATTGGGATATGCGAATTTAATTGTAGTGGATAAGTGTTTATTTTTATTGTTTTTATAACAATTTTAATAGGAACAAATTCTATTAGTGGTTGTGTTCAACAATATTTTATAAAATATAGAGCCTCATTGATACCAGAATATTAGAAATTATTGAAATTTACGAGTTAAGTCTTTAATATATTATTCATTAAAAATGATTGTGGTTTTAACATGTGTTTTTTAAACACTTTGTTCGCTTAAAAATCTTGACAGCGTTTTAATGACTATCTCTATACCTCCCATTTTTCTAAAAATTGATATCTGTGGAAATACTATCTGTGCTTCTATCTTCACCTATCACAAAAGGATGGACATTATTGATTATCGTTAATATGTCTTTGATATATTTAAACAGTTTTTCAATGCGTTTATTCATAACTACTATGAATCTTAACATAACAAGGTATCACGTATTACATAGCTTTTGTAATTAAATGTTTAATACTATTTTAAGAGCATTATAATATCCCCTATTATGAATAGGTTGAAGTGCACTTAATCTGAGCACAAGTATTGGTCCCTTGTGATACTTCTTTTATAGTAGTTAGTTATAGTAATTATATACTTATAGAAACTAAATTAAATACCTTAGCAAAAAATATTGTTGTGTTGCTGCCAAAGCTAACACTCCAGCTACACGTGCTGGTGGAAAAGGGTCACGCATTGCACGTATAAATGCTGATACCAATACTCTTTGCCGTACCTTAAAAAAAAAATAAAGTTTTTGAATAAATTAATTATTACAATAATTACAGTAATTATAATTACCTGCGGATGCAAGTGTGGTGCAATTTTACCCAAACAAACAGTTGTATTTGTACGTATACCACCTTGATCATCGCGTGCTTGTAAGCGCGCAAAATGTCTCAGTACTTCCACATTTAAATTATTATAATTTAATTTTGGTGCTAAATGTATTATGGACTATAATATAAATAATTAAAATTAGTAATCATTTTAAACATGTAAACATATTCAAACTAACCTTAACGGTTTGCTCTCGTATTGTGGCGTTAGTATCTAAAAAACCATGTGCAACTTGTGGAAATATTTGTTCATTTACCACTTGAGGTTGCAGATGCGCTATAAAAAGTTCTAATTGTTGCAACAGACGAGAACGCGTCACACGATCCGTTGATCCAAAAAGTTTAACTACACATGGCACAATACGTTTTTGATATTCTGCTTCATCAAGTAATTTACCAAGCTATTGAATTATTAAAAAAAATTAATCATTATATATATATTTATATATTATTTAACTCTATTTAATTTATATATTATTTAACTATTTAACATTATAAATAATTTTTAAAAGTAAGGTGAGGTTAATTTTTTTACAAGACATTTTTAAAATAAATTTATTGCTTGATTGTAAAGAAACGGATAATGTAGAAAAGTTTTAAAGTGAAAATATGACGTATGGTATTATTGTAATTGTTGTTAAATGTTATTTTATTGTAATATTAAACTATTAGATAATGATTATATTATCACAATACTAAGTTATAAGATAACTAGTTATTTTATTACAATATTAAGTTATTAGATGAGCGCTAATCTTGTTTTTTCTTTCTTCTTCGGCGTGTAAAAACATCGCCGTTATTAATTATACTAATTGGGATTAATTAAATTAAAAGTTCTAACTTTAACTAGTATTGAATGTCATCACCGATATATGGCCACCAGAAGTGTTTGTTTTAAAAATCTTATTGTTGTTTAAAAATTTATAAATAAAATCTTTTACAACATCTCTATCTCATATTTTATAACGAGAGAAATAATGTTGAAGATCTTTGGCAATCTACAAGTTAGCAACGCTTACTGCATCCAAATGGACCAAGAGCTTTACAAACTTTATCATAATGCGAATTAGGTGTATTGCTTGTCATGTTGATTGATGCTGAAGTCAACGCACCAGCGAAAAAATGTTGGGATATAGGAAGTCGTAGATAAAGACCGTGTCGCCTGTAGAAGAATCAGATCAAAACACAGTCATAGAAGGTTAAGATTAAGTAATAAAGTAAACCATTTAAAAAGTTCTTCTTAATTATGATAAAACTTAAATATTGTATATAAATTTTGGTTTACTTTACAGCAGGAGACTCTATTTCTTCATAAGAAAAACAGTTTATCCGTCGACTGCGTTTGAAAAGAAGACAATACGAGTATTCCCCTTTTTTATATTTAAAGGAAAAATCCCGTATTATTTTCCTTTCTTTTAATATATATTTAGGAAAAAGAATATGAGTATTCTTTTCTTTTGTATTTAAAAACTTAAATTGGCGATATATTATTTTGTGTTATTATTGTAGTAGTTTGCCAAGATCTGTTTGTATAGATGTTTTTGGGAACGCTGAACGGCACTTGGTTATTAAACTTGACGAATATGTTCGGGACGTAGACGCGGCCTAATTCTTATACGGAGTCATGGGCTTTGAGTATCGAATTTCGCTCAAAATAATCTTTTTTTTTTAACTCACATTATCTTTATTTTATTTTGCTTTAGAAACTTACTTTAAACATTGGTGCTAATACTGCTGAACCGGCATCTCCGTATTCATATGCAGTTATCAGTTGTGGTAATATTTTATGTCTATTAAAAGTTTAAATACATTTAAACATTATTTTAAATTTATATAAAAATACAAAGTATAATTTACTTACTTGCACACATTATCTGGAAAATTTTCCAAATGTAACGTCAAACCACTAAAGAAACGATTTTTTTCAGCTTTATCTTTAATTTGTATTTCTTCCAGGAATAGTAACGTATCAACTAAATCGTTTTTGAAAAATCCTCCAGGTTTACGACATCTCGTAATAATATCAGCTGGATTAGGTCGATTAGATGGTGATGCACCAACTAATTCACAATAAAGGGATTGTAATGATTTTGGTATGTTATCGATATCCTTGAGATTCGAGCGTATTTTTAATGGACCATTAAATGATTCCCACACAAGGCAACCAAGACCCCACATATCAACCGAGCTATAAAAGAAGCGAAATAGAAAAAAAAACAGTTAAAAAAAAGCAAATAATTTATTTATATAATTAAAATTACCATTTTGTTGCTGCTTTTAATTTACTTTGATCGTTCTTTTCAGGTGGATCATAAACTTCTAAAGCTGGCGGCACTTTTAGTGGTGGCATAGGATTACCATCAGCTGCGGACACATATTCCAAACTACCCAATTTCCACTCACCAGATGAGTTAACAAAAACAGACCATACTGACACATTATTGTGCCTCAAATTGCCGTCATTATTTAAAAATGATAAAGCACGCTAGAAATAAAATTATAATGAGTAAGTAATGACTATGAATATATTAATTGTAGTGATGTATCAAAGTTAATAATTTGTAATTAAATGCAATGAATGCAATAATAAAAATAGATAATTGTTAAAAAGAAAAAAATTATTTATTCGGTAATTTCATAATTATTATTTTACTTTTATTAACAATACTTACTGTGATCTGAAAAACACCCCAAGCCAAATATAAATCCTTTTGTGGTCCATCAGTTGCTAATTTACTAATATGTGTACCTAACGGCTCAACTGGTTCTGTTGCCACATATATAGTTTTTTCTGTTTCATTAGAGTCTAAAAATTGTAATATACTAGGATGTCGCAAAGTTTTTAAACGTTTTAATGATGCTTTAGCTAATTCTAGCTTCGCATCCGAGCCAGAGCGTATATCGTAAACAAATATAGATACTTCCTCTTGTGTGCTTTTACGTTTTCCTTTGTGCAACGTCCAAATGGAATGCGTTTCAAAACCTGGCACTAGCTCGCCAATTTCATATGGAAAATCTTTAGAGGAGTCGCGCGAAAAGAACGACCACATCATGTGTTTTGCTCGACGACTGAATATTTTGTTATAGTAGTGGATAACAGCGTGTTGCGGAGAGTATTGGAATTTCTAAAGGAAAATGCTCTAGAAGCGTTGAGTATTCTATTTAAATAATTTACTAAATTTTTAATATGTATTTTTATTGCCAGCTGCTGATATTGTTTTTTAATTCAGGCTAATATTACTCCTTTACTTTGTTGCTTTTTTTCCGTTTTCTTATTACTTCGTCACTATTCGTTTGCTTTTCATTTATGTTCTTTGCAACATTTTTTTTTAACATTTGGTCAGCAACAATTTTCTCCAACTTGTTTTTGTAATCAGTTAGCAACTTTAGCAAATATCTTTTTGAAATATATTTATCTTAATTGCTTGCAATTGAATTTTGTCACATTTTACAAATAAACAATTTAATTAAAACAGAAAAATATACGCACTTTAATTAACTTTTCATGACGTAGCTTTTAGTTGTGTTTGCATTACTTATGGTGCACAAATTTTGTGTTGACGTTTATTTTTGCGATATAACAGTGTTGCAAAATTTCTTGATGGCTTTGAAATTTTTACAGCCTGCAACACTGTTTGACACACACAAGTAGTCTTATATAAAAATTGCAATAAATTATTAAAAAAACTTAATTTAAATAAATTAGAGTGTCGCTATTAAAGTATATCAAATAAATCTGTTTTTATTTAAGATGGATGTCGTTATATATTTCATGTGAAACACCAACATTTCAGTTTATTACCCTGTTTCAGTTTTTACCAAAGAAAATCATACACAAACGTAGCAAAACAAAACAAATTGATAACAAATGTCAAACTGATTTTGACAGCTGTTCAGCGCATCTGTTCGGAAGTTTTTCAATATTTGTATTTATACTTAAATTTATACTCCACTTTATCAACAAAAAATTTCATATTAAAATTATTTAATGTTGGACGAATCATCTACGATTACTCTGCGCATATGTCAGGAAGGGCATGCAAATGCATTGGCATTAAATCGTGATAGCAGTTTGATTGCAGTAGCTGGTCGAAGTTGTAAGTAATATTAGATAAACAAAATAAAATCTGTATAATAATAAATTATTTTTTCTTATTTGTAGTATTAAAAGTATTTGCTTTTGATAATGATGGCTTTACGGAAGTGTGTAATATGCGTGGGGGAAAAAACCAAAATCTCAGTTATTCATCTAATGATGTGGCATGGAGTTTTTTAGATAATAACATTATAGCTACGGCAGCTACTAATGGTGTAGTATCCGTTTGGGATTTATCAAAATTTGGCAGGCATAAACAATTGCTTGTTTACAATGAACATGAGCGCACCGCACACACTGTAACATTTCACAGTACTGAACCAAATTTATTAATATCTGGTTCACAAGATGGTACCATAAAATGTTTTGACACACGTTCAGAAAAGTCTGTTGTTACATATTTTAGTAACTCTGAGTCGGTGCGAGATGTTAAATTTAGTCCACATACGACAAATATATTTTCTGCAGTTTCAGAAAATGGTACCGTACAATTGTGGGATTTGCGCAAGTAAGATAGAAACCTCAAGAGAGTGAACATTTTAATAATATTTATTATTTTAGATGGGATAAATGTATATTACAATTTACTGCACATAGTGGTCCAATTTATACGTGTGATTGGCATCCAATGAAAAACTGGCTCGCAACTGGAAGCAGAGATAAACAGATTAAGGTATATATATATGTGTGAAATGTATATAAATATATATATGAATGTATAATATTTACCGCATATATCTATATATTGACGTGAAAAACACTCATATTGTTAAAATACAGTTTTATTAATAAGAAAACAAATAATAATAATTTAATTTAATTTTCTTTTTTTAAATTTAACCAATTAAATAAAAAACTAATACATTTATATAATTGTATTAATCTCCACTAAAAAAAAAATTATACTTATTTATACTTGATATATATAATATAATTTGTAAAAGATATTTTATTTAATTGTACCTATTTATATTTAATACATTATTAGGTTTGGAATATGGATGGCAAAGCTTCGTTGGAACATACCATACATACCATAGCTGTAGTTGGACGTGTTAAATGGCGACCAGAACGCATGTAAAATTTTTATTTAAAAATATTATATTATGTCTTTAATATTTTTAGTTTTATATATTTTATTACCAATAAATATTATTTAATATATTTCTATATCTAATTTTGCAGCTACCACATTGCTAGTTGCGCATTAGTTGTAGACTATAGTATACATGTCTGGGATATAAGAAGACCTTATATACCGTTTGCTTCATTTAATGAGCACACAAATGTTACTACCGGGATCGCTTGGAAGGGTGGCGACTCACATTGCTTACTATCAACTAGCAAAGATTCTACTATATATAAACATGCATTCAAGGATGCAGCGCGTCCGGCTTTAAAAGCAAATGCACAAGGAGCTAGCTTAAGTCGTCGTGGTGATATATCATTTGCGAATAAAATAAAAGTCTTGGCACCGGTTACTGCAGCACAAGTAGTCAAATCAAATACACTCATGTAAGTTCTGAAATTTTTCGTTTAAAAATATAGCTATAAATATTTCTCGATATCTTTACAGCATGCGACAAAGATCCATAACTGGTGTCGAACAATTTCATATGGCACAATCTGATATGCATGAATTTCTATTAAAATCATCAGTAGGTTTTAATTCTTATAATATAAGTCCAATATAAATTAAAATTAATATCAACTTACTATAAACAGTACACTGGTTATGTGGACGAAGAAAATTCTGTGGAACTGAAAGAGCACGAATGTTTTATAGGCTGTGCTAAGGAATTTATATTAACTGGCAAGAAACTTGGTGAAATTTGTGAGCATAATGCAAAAGTAACAAAGAAATATGGCAAACATAATGTAAATTATATCAAATATTTATTTACTATTGCATATTTTATAATGAATTTTTATTTTAGGCATCCACACTTTGGAATTTTATTAAAATACTTTATGGTTCTAGTGAGTTTAGTACACAAAAATATGAACATCGCAGTTCATTTTCTACACAAAAGAGTATACAGTCTTCTCGTAGGCCAACGCAGAATATAAATGCTTTAACTAATGAAGTTTTACCTTGGAGTAATAATGAACGCACCGATACGAATGGTAATAATAACGACATCGATATAGAACTACAAGATGCCGATGCATTAAGTGGTGTTGTTGGTGGCAGTGGTAGTGGTAAACAAAATTATCCGCCATATAATTCAGTGATCATATCAGAGAATCAGATACTTAATGATATTACTTTCGATAATTTTGAAATGCTGCGCAATGGTTTTATATATGTGGGACCACCGGATTTCACAAAAGCACTATCCTTTCCAGAAACTGCATTACATCATAATGTGCAAGCAGCAAGACCACAACAAGATATTAAAGTGAAAGAACATGAAAAATCTCCGGTAAGTAAAGCACAGCACTCTAAACCTAAACTAAATTTACCGATTTTTATATCAATTATATCAATTGATACTATATTCTATAAAATATATTTATCCTATCTGTGAATTTTTTAGCTATTTTCATTATCATGCTCTCATCCATTATATATATTTCAGCCTCAAAATTTGCCAACTATTTTAAAAGTGTCCAATGTGCCTGCCATACCAATGTGGGAACCACATCAATTTATAGCTGACTCACTTATGCTACAGAACGATGTAGGTGATGTACAAACAGCTCTCTCAATTTTAGTAGCCATGGGTGATGCTCGTAAACTTATACCAATTGAAGAATCTTTAATTGTGAGTTAGTTTAAAAAATATTCTACGTTCCTTATGTTTTGTTTTAATTGAACAATAATTTTTCAGGAACATTGGTTTCAAACCTATATTGATCAGTTGCATCGTTATCAATTGTGGAATGAAGCATGTACACTTATAAATCTCTCCTGGATACGTTCGATCCGTCAACTTAATCAACAATCAACTACTGTACATACGAATTGTGGTGAATGTGGTCGTCCTTTAGGCGGTAGTGCTGGTTGGTATTGTCAGAAATGTAAATCCATGCAATCAGCTAAGTGTTGTGTATGTGGTTTAGTTGTAAGGGGTTTATACGCCTGGTGTCAGGGTTGCTCACATGGTGGCCATTTAGAGCATTTGATTGCATATTTTTCAAATCGCTCGAAATGTCCAAAATGTGGACATTTATGTGAATATAATTAATTAATCTGACAAATGTTTATATTATTTGATTATTTAAGTTGTTATATTTATTCAGACATTATAATATTTTAGTTCGTAAACTTGTATTTATGTGATTATGTATTTAAATCAGACTATAAAAATTTTTACTTAATAACAAATAATAATTGTGCAAAAAAATGTGATGTTCTTAACGCACTTGTGATTAATTGTATTTTAAATTCTAACTTAAACAGTCTGGACTACAAACCGGTCCTCAACGAAACTGTTTGGTACTGGAACTGGTGACCTTTTGGTGTGATTGCAGTGAATTCTGCACCGATCTATTGGCTTTACATATTATGAACCGAAAAATATATCGACCATGAAGTGTATTAAAAAATGTTAGGTTTGACTTAATAGGCTACAGAATATCATATTAATCATACCAAAATTATAAATTTACAGAATGTCTAAGAAAAAGCATATAAAAAAACAATAGAAAGCAACCAAAAAAAAACAGGAAAAATATTTTTCAAAATAACTTTCGTATAATAATTGAACTACTCACACCTATATATTTTGCCCGAATATATATACAGTCAATGACATATATACATAAATGTACGTTATACGACAAGGCTGCGCAAGCTCGCTAAGTATTAAGTCTATATGATCACCTCCCTCTCGCCTGACTGCTGGAATGAAGTTTCCTCAATGCTGTGGAAATCTACTCCTTTCATTCCTAAGAGGTGGTTTTAGTGGGTTCAAGTCTTACAATGATGCGCAAGAAACCATTCGTTAAATTTGAATGGCACTACTGTACATGTGAATTAAAAATATTGTAAATTTTAAAAAAATCCAGATCCAGACACAAAAAATTTGACTAATATTTTTATGGTATAGTTTGATATTTGGCTCCGTCCCATTGATTTATCACTCCGTCCTACTGATTTTTGGCTCCGTTTAATTGAACTTTGGCTTTTCTCATTGGCTCCCTTTGAAGTGGCTGAGTTTCTTCGCTTTGATACAGGTTAGCTTCAATTGAAATCATACCCATCAATAATTCACTCTTATTCCCAAACAATCTAATTTCCTTTCATACTTTCTTTACCCAATCATATCTTAATCCATGATCACATTGATCTTTTTCTCTATCCCATTGACTTTTGGGGCCTATTAATCTTTAGTTCCATCTAATTGATATCTGGCTCCATACTATTGATCTGTGACTCCATTCCATTCAAATGGCTAGATTTCTTCGCTTTGACTAAGGTTAATTTCAAATAAAATCGCAACTAACCATAATCCACCATTGGTCCAAAACAATCATCTTCCCTTTCACACTTTCTTTACCCAATCATATCAAAACCCATGCACTCGTAGTTGTAATTTTTACCATGTTATTTAGTTCTTCAAATGAAAAGACTGAAAAGAATTAGCTGTGCCAAAACTTTTCATCACCTTCAACCGCTATTCAGATATGAAAATCTCAATGCTAAGAACAGGAAGCTGATATATAACCAAATAATTCGTCCGTCACTTCTATATATGGTCAAACACTACTATTCGTCAGCTAGAAATTGCACAAAGCCAGGCTCTGAGAGGACTTTTCAAAGTATCATGGTACATTAGGACGAATGACATCCTCAGGAACCTAAAGATTGATGTCATCAAAAAATACGTTAAGGATAGAGCCCTGAAATTATTTGTGAAAACTGACAGACTATCAAATCTCATAATGGCTACAGGCTCCTCGGGGACGTATGCAGATCTGAGGTCAATTATTGCTTAGTCTGATGAAGCTTAGCCTTGACAATAATCCAGTCAAGGCGTAAAGAGGGGTTTTGAAAATACCTTGAGTTAAGAAAGAGTAAAAGTGCTCAAGTGCACTGGCTCAAAGAGCTTCAACATAAATAATACAAAAACAACTATTACTTTTATAAGAAAAAATATTTAAAATATAAATTTAAATCAAAAAATATATATTTATATTTATTTAAAAATTACGAATAGCACTAATAGTAAAACAATTTATGTTATAAATAAAATATATTCATAATTTTTTTATTATTAAATTTAAAGTAAGAATTTTTTTTTATTATAGTTTTTTATTAAATAATTTATTTATTAAGTAAATTTTATTTAATAAAAGTGCTTTTAAATGGTAAAATGCTAACTACCTTTTGACAGCCATAATATGTGAGCAAAGAATAAAATATAAGAAAATTAATGAATTAAAATAGTAAATAAATTTATAATAATAAAAATAAAATTATTATACAAAATTGTGCGAGAAATTAAGTTAAGGAATTAAAATATAATTAATAAGTAAATGTATGCTTCGCAGTTTATCTCCGTGTAAACATTTTAAGGACAGAAAGAAACTGTTGGAAGCACCACCGTCTGCCAGGACTGCATCAAAAGCGCAAAATATTTAAAAATTGCGTTGTAAGAAGAAAATACTGTGCGCTTTAAGCAAAAGCTAAAACTTTAAATAAAAAAAAGAACAAAAATTTGGAAATTATATAAAAAAAATTGTAACGAAGAAAAACTTTAAATATTTGGCTTTTTAAAAAAATTGCATTTTCGTTACTTGATTTGTTCTTTTTTTATTTTTTGTATTGTTGTTTAAAGTTTTGACTTTGCAGCAGTACTGGCGGCTAATTGTCAAGAGGCAAGATCTAGGCTCACAGTTTGGCAAGCAACGACAGGATCACTGCTATCAAGTTCATAGAATGTGTTATTATGCTTCACAGTTCCAGGTTCCTCATAACGTATAGTCATTGAATTTGAATTGCCTGGTATAAGTTCATAGCCCAAAGTTTCATAAAATTTAATTAATTTATCCTTACAGTCTAAGGACATTTTATAACAGCCCAGCTGTTGTGCGAGTAGAGTGACGGTAACAACAATTCTACAAAAAGAAAATAGTTATATATATTTTATTATTTATTGTATAGAATCCTACAATGAGTTTAATTAAAGTTTAATACTTACAATTTCCCAAGTTGCTTGCCGCGATAAGTATCATTGACCACAACATCCTCTAAACGACCACGCTATGGATTTAATACAATAATCATTTTAAGAGCATTTAAAAAATATATAACTTTATAGTCTTACTGTGGCACAATTATGTATGAACTTCTTTTCAACTATCAGTGAAGCAGCACCAATAATTAGATTCTTTCGTGTGTCCTCCACAACAGTAACATAATAATCACCACTGGCTTTCATTTGTGAGAAACGAGCTGTTGATAAATATAGTAATGTTAAAAGAAGAAAAGAAAAACATGCTCTTATTATAGTGGATCAACTTAGTGATCACAGACACTATTGAGTAAAAGTACTTAAGCACTAACTCGCATTTTATGAAGCAAAGTAAAGGAATAGGTCATCATAATGGCACCATGTTCAGTAGAGCCCTTCCTCCAAGAAGCATTGCTCAATCCCTTCTTCTTATCATACATATACCAACACCTATTGCAATGGAGCTAACATCAATGAGTTCGAATACAAGCGTGGAATTACAGTCCTTCACACAGATACTGTATCCTCCTCGACACGTAGGTTGGCCACCCCCTAACATCTCCTAGGCAGAAACACGTCTTCTCCGTGCAGCAAGAACTGTCCTAGCTCAATTGAGCTCAGAATATAACCAAGTGCGAAACAGTTATTTGTCACGCATAAACACGTCTATTCTTAATGTGCGCCCAAACTGCAGCTCTACCCCCATGACTACACCCATCTGCTTTCAGGTACCTGCGGGTTACAACAACAATAAGAAGATCACCCAAGAACAAAAACGTCACCCCGTGTAGCAAGAACTGTCATAACTCAATTGAGATCAGGATAAAGGCAAGTGGGAAACAGTTACTTGTCACATTATTCTACTCTAGCTCTACCCCCATGATGTCGCCCATCTGCTTTCAATTGCCTGTGGGTTACAACAACAATAAGAAGATCTTCTAGGATCAAAAACATCTTCCCCGTGCAGCAAGAACTGTCCTAGCAGCAAGATCAGAATATAACCAAGTGGGAAACAGTTACTTGTCACATTATTCCTAATGTGTCTTCAAACTGCAGCTCTACAATAACTCTACAACAACACAAGTACAAAAATAGCCTTTATATACTGCATAGGCGTGTACAGAAACTCATTTAATAGGGAGTTTTTAAAAACCAATCTAAAGTTTATTCGGAAATATTTAGCTTGGTTTTCACTCAAAATCACGCGACAGATATAGTATATTTCAATATAGGTTAGGTTGGGTTATATCGGCGACAAGAAAATATATTTCAATGTAACTCACTTAAAAATTGTGTTCTGGTTATTTGTCCAACACTGGTTAACTGAGATAGCAGCTGCAGAAATCCACGATCATAATCGCCATCCTTCAGTGGACGCACTTTTAACCAACTTTCACCAGGATTGGCAGCTGAAATGAATGGATTGAATTTTGCTGGACTTTTGTAGAAATCCAATTTGAGTAATATATTCGGATCATAAAGATAAGTTTCCTCCTATAAAAATATTTAATAATATAATAATTAGTAAATATATGATAAATATGTTAATTAACTTTCTAATTAAGTGAAGTACATTTTATCGCATATTGAAGTTGTTTTTTTATCTTATCTATCTTATAGCTCATATATATATTTGCTATTGTAAAATTAGTAACTTTTATATTTAATATGTTAAATTAATACTTTTATTAAACATTTTTATTAACGCACTTGATTATATCCCACCATTTCAGCTCAAAATGTTGCTATAAATTAATTTAAACTAAATAAATGTTGCCAACACGTCAACTAATCAGTGGCAACTGATGGAAAAAAGTTGTTAAAAGCCAGAAAACAACGTCAGTAGAGACTTTTTTAAATAATTTTATGCAACTTTTGAAAGAAGTCTTTCTTACCACACCACCGAGTGTTGGAGAGGCAGGCAGGGTGCGACTTTATTCAATATTGAACTTGCTGGAGCGGTTCTCTATTTTTATTATTTTTTGATAAATGAAAAAAAGATACAAAAATATTTCCTACAATATATGTATTTTTTGTTTTGATTGCTGTTGCTGTTTATTATCAGCACTTTCCATATCGTTGGGAACTAGTTTCGTAAAATGCGACCACAATCGAGTCACAGAAGAATGTAAAAAAAGCGACATTTTGAGTAGAAGAATTGACGAGATACACAAATACCAAGCTAAGTGGGGGGTGACAGTCGCTGCTCGAATGAAGGTTATACAGTTGAACTCAGGCAGGTCTTAAATCTTGTGTGGCATAGAAACCGGTAAAATGTGTAGAAAACCGCTTTGATTCTAAAATACGGACTGTATATGTTTGTGTGTAAGAATATTGATTTAAAAATTCTTGTTGCATTAAATTATGTACTCTTATAGGAAAATATTTAGAATAATATGTAAATTAAAGCTTTTTATAGAAATATAAAAATAAATAAGAGGTTTAGTGAACTTTTTCTTTGGTTAGACACACGCACTAGTTTATGAAAAGAATTGTAACATTTTACGAAAGTTCTAATTATTAAAAATTATTTATAATTTTTTTACGCCGTTTACTACATTATAGAGATGAGAGGTTCTTAAATAAAACCGGTGAAAGACCCTATCACCTAAAAACAGTTAAAAATTTTTATAGCACACTTTTAGGCAAATTTATTAATGCAAATCTTTATTCTGGGCCCAGAAACCAATACTTCATTTAAATAAAACCTGCTTTGTTTAAAATAGAATCGAGATATTAAACAGAAATGTAAGTAAAGGCATCGCTTAAAAAATCTGATCACATTCCATTGAGTGGAGAGCGTGTAAGGGTAGTATTTTATAACTCGCAACTACGATTAGAGCTCTTATTCCTTGATTGAAGCCGTTCAAGTAGTGTTTTCGATTGACACCCTATACATATGACAATATACTATTGTTGATACAGTAGTTAGATACATAAACATCTACGGTAACTGTAACTCAAACGAGCTTCCCAAGACAGACACTCTACTCCCTGACGTTCATATCTTAATTATTGGAATACCAATTACAACGCCTAAGCTGGCAATTAAAGAAAAATATCTGAGCATAGTTATACAAAATTGGACAGATGAACCACTCTGTCACACATCCACATCGACCTGATGCAAACTGGTTCAACTAACAAGTAGTCACTGTAGTACTCAGTGAATACTATGACACTGCGTCTATACTACACAAGGTTGCGGTTCTGCGGAAGAATCTGTGCTACACCTCTCGTTTTAGCGTCCATCATTAGCTATGACAGGATTTAAAATCCTTCAGACCCCTTCCCTTACCGATTTGTCAGAGCTATCATACTGTAAAAATTGGAACTTCACCGAGTTTATAGACTTGCCAGATTGTCTGACCTCTAGCCTGGGTATGACAATGTTAAAGGCTTGAGTGAAAGCAAATTAAAAAATAGTTAGTTGGGTTTTTAAAATTATTTTATATTGTTATTTTTTTTATAAATAGGAGCCGTCTGTTATTTCTGGTTAACCACACTTCACATATGCTTTATATATATGTATATGTTCACAAAATTATATAAACTGGTGGTTCCTAACCGATCGTTTAAAATGGTCCGTGCATCAAATTTAACAGGTATGGATACATAGTTTGTAGTTGCATAAAAATGCATACAGCATATTAAAATAATCGTACTGTTTATTAATCTTAAACTTTGTAGTCCTTTTGAGAACCACTGATATATACTATCTATTTGTCAAGCATTAGAATCATTTGCTCATTTACTAAAAAAAGAATCTTATCCTTAATACTAAATTCGGTAACCTTCTAATTTCATGGTGTAAGAAAAGAATATAATTGGAATGCGATTAGGCTAAACGCAAATTCCATTCCGACAGTTATAGTAGATGACACAATATGATCTTCTACAGCAACTTTGTTCTGTTCATTGCATTTCCTGAAAAGCAAAAAGGTCAACTTTGTGCTGGTTATCCATACTTTAGTTATCAGAAAAATGTCTCTATAACTTGGAACACATATAATGTTTGTATGTCAATGTACATTTAGTTGATAGGCATCCTATACGATATCCTGAGACAAGCTTAGATGTTGCGAAAAGAGATTTAGTGGTCAAATTGCTGAATTGTAAGGATTGTGGCCGTTTTTAATGAAAATGTATTAATAAAAAATTCCTATTCATTTTATTTCAACTCATTGGCGGTAACCCACTCTGCTTATATGGATGCGGCAGACCAACCGGCAAGCTTAAGAACAATTTGCGAGATTGAATGCCTTGTTAAGATTACAATAATGTTACTGATGATGCATATAAATGTTAGAATAGTTTCTTAAGCTGTAAATTTCGTTTTTAATTTTGTTAAATATATACCGTTGATTACATATCCTTAATATAATCTTATCAAATCAACGACCTTGTCAAAATATTTTTATAATATTCGCGAATAAAAAGTAAAATCACTATTTAGAAATACAATTTTTTGATTCGAAATAGATATACACATAACTGAATTAAAAATTTAATTTTAATAATTAAAAATTTCACTTTTATTATTAAATTAACTCACCATTTTATTTCCGTATGTGCACCACGTCAAAACAAACTAGACGAACCACAACTAACCAAACGACTTGAATTAACGTCAATAACTAAACAATTCAATGTGACTGCGAAATTATGCCACGCAGTATAGTAGAAACGAAAAACAGTTCACCATTTCTTCCAATAATAATGAAAATAACAAAAAAATGTAAAAAGAGATAAATTTGTAATAAATATTGTAAATAAACAAATAAAAAACCACTGACGAAAGCACAAACACAACAAAATATTAAATAACGGACCCGAACAGCTGAGATTTGACATTTCTGAGCAGAAAAGTTAAAAGCAAAGAGAGGCGCAAAAAATTTAAGAGTCTTATGCACAGTGGTACGAAAAAAAATTAATTATCACTTAATTTTTGATATATTGTATATAAATCGATGGGTTTATATATTATTATTATTATAGTGTTATTAGGAAAAGAATTATTTAAAATAAATAATCACTATAGTTTATATAATTACTATCAGAAACTTCGCCTTGAGCATATAATGCAAACTGATTACATATAACATGGTTAATGCCATTATGAATCCTGTCATTGCTCACTTTGAGTTGATATAAACTTTCCATATTGCGTATTCTCAGATAGCTGTAATCGCCGATACAAATTAATTAATCTGCACATTGAAGTCAACCACTATTTAAAAATATAGACTGCCCGAGTATTTTTATAGAGGAGGTGCATCTAATAATACATAAACACTGTCTCATTTATTTTAATTAGTGAATATTCACATTATAATGAGCTCATTTATGCAGCCAACACAACTTTTATAAACTTTACTTAATATCACACAAAAGAAATATATACATTATTAATATATTAAATCATTTATATACATTATATATATCAATTATATGTTCAATTATTAAAAACAATAATTTTTTGAAATACTTACTTCCTCAGTGCCTTTGTTAACAGCTCAGTTGTTATTTGTTTACATTTTACATATAAAACATGTGACACATATTTCAAATTTTGATAATTTTCCTTGTGAGAAATTTATTTTTAAGGATTGCTTCCGACATTCTTCGCCTTAAATGAACTGACTTATCATCATTAGTAGCTATAATGAGTAAAGTGCCTTAAATGAGATTTGACATCCATTACAACTGTCATGCAACAAGGAGTTCGGAATGGTATTTGCTGTTATTGCAATTCCATTTCAATTCTATTCTAATTTTACACCAAACAATGAGAGATTGGTCGAAGTGAGTATTAAGGTAATATCCTTTTGTTAGTAATGGATTCTGATGCTTGACAAATAAACAGTGGTCTATATAATATACGGTATGTAGACATATACACGAATAAGGGATATCAGAGTTGAAACTGTATTCAAAAGTGGTTGTTATTTTTTATGATTTAATATATGTTTGCAGCATTTTAAACCGATTATTTTTAACACCAATAAGCTGGAGATGACTTTAAACTATTAAAGTTTAGTTGCAAAATAAGACATATTTTTATAAATCGTCCGCAAAACAAGGTCTTACTTTAATCCTATTTATTCTTAAACACGTCTTAATAAAATCGTAATTTTAATTACTATGTACATGACCATTCATAGAACTTTTAAACTTACAGGTATAATAGTTCAATGCCGAAATACAATCATATCCTATTATTATTCAACGATAGTACTTCTACAGTAGCTTATAAAAGTAAATCTTTATAGAAGTACTTTATTTCAGTCACTCTTGACTGCCATCGCATCTACGTGAAAACGTAATTTAACATTACTAAATACATATACAAAAAAAGAATTGTTATGATTTGTTTGAATCAAAATTTACTATTTAAATTAAAAACATTTTATTGCCTATATTTTCGTCTTTTGTACATTATTTGCATGTTAATTCGCTACTATGTATTTATCTGTTTTATACATTTCATAAGCAAATTCTTCCTGATGATTCGGATCATACTCTAATCCAACATAGTCAATTTCTAATTTAAATGGGCCATCCATACTGTTTCTTGCGCCAACAGAGAATCCAAAATGTGTTACTCTATTCAAGCCAATTGGTTCTTGTTTATCCTGCACTCTACCTTTATTCGCTAAGAAGAATTTTGAAAACGGTATCTACAAAGAAAAAAAAAAGAAAAATAGAGCGTATGTTTAAAATTATTTTATAAAAACTTCATATAAGCTCACTTTTGCTATTTGCCAGTGGGGACCACCTCGAGTATATAAAATGTAATGATAAATATCATTCCATAATAAATCGAAATATCCCTCAGTATGAAGATTAATTAAATAATTTCGTCCATCTCCACGTACTTTCAATATTAACGTATTATATTGCGTCCAATCGTAAGTAGTTTCTCGTTTGAAAGATTTCTAAAAATAAATAAATTAATTTTGGTTTTTTGGAAATTCTATCATATATCCACTTACTCGCACTCTTTTCGTACGTATATTGGCATAGCCGGTGCGTTTTATTATACCATCTTTGGTATGTTCAGAGCATACATTTCCTTCAAATAGTCCTGCACCAGCGGGACTTATTTTAAGTGTAGCATTACTTTTGCCTTCATTATGATCACTGTCGGTTGTAACAACCCATTTGTCTAATGATTCGGGATTTTTAAAATTGAACACAACATCTGTTTCACCTGGCCGAAAAGCTAGTATCGGATCACTTTCGAAACGCTCTTTTACTTCTTCACTCCATAATTTAATTTCTTTTTTTAATTCCTGAATTCCCTCGAGAATTAGTTGTTTTTTTGATGGTAGCGCTAATGGTTTTCTATAACCCGACTTTTTTTCTCTTTCCCACAGAGTTTGTTGTGTTGGTGTCAAATGTATGCCTCGTACGGGTTCAACATATGCCTGCAGCAGTTGGTGCAGACATGGTACAATTTTCTTTGAGCCACAATTTACTGTGCATTTTAATAATAAACTCATATTAACATAATTAATTCAATAAATATTAAATACAAAAATTTTTTCTTTAATGTTTATGAAATACTTGTATGCTTAGAGGTAATATGTAATATGTAGAACGTGCGTACAAGATGAAAATGTCAAAAACAGCTGTTGGTCTCATGCTTTGCTTGCGAATGCGGAATATAAACAAAAGCGCAAATGTTATGTCAAAAAGATAAGAAATGAATGAAGTGTCAAATTGTGGTGTTTGTATACAGCAGAGTTTAATGGCTTAAAGTACAAAGTTCTTTTTCTTTCTAATTCTAATTCTCATAAAATTGTAAAAATGCAAGAAGTAAACAAATGTAATAATAATAATAATAATGGTGGCCAAATAAGTATATTTTATTGGATATTAGGTGTTATATGCGCACCTTTGGCTTTACCATTTTTTGCTTTAAGTATGATACGCAATATACGTGCCAGAAAATACAGAGACTGCCTACCTGAAAAAGTAATTCTTTTGTTTTAGAAAATATATATCAAAAGCAAATATTTAATTTTCAATACTTACAGGTAGTACTAATAACTGGGGCAAGTTCTGGTTTAGGTGAGTCTCTGGCACACGTTTTTTACAAAGCAGGCTGTAAACTTATTTTAGCTGCAAGACGTTTAGATGAATTGGAACGTGTTAAAACCGAACTATTAGCTTTAAAACCAGTAAGTGTGTTATTAAATCTTCTCTTTATCATAGCTACTTCATTGGAATATTATTTCAGAACCAAATAACTTATCCACCAACTGTGCTTCCTTTGGATTTAGCCGAGTTGAATGATATAGGTCCTTTCGTTGCCAAAGCACTTAGCATACATAATCACATCGATATATTGATTAATAATGGCGGAATTAGTGTACGTTCCGATGTATTATCTGCTGCCGTAGATGTGGATCTTAAAGTGATGCTAGTCAATTATTTTGGAACAGTTGCTCTAACAAAGGGTAAGTAAAATGGGTACTTTTTAGTATTTATTTAAATTTCCTAAAATTTTATGATTTTATTTAGAATACAATTATTTAGTAGGTAATTTATTTGTTGTTTGTTGCATTTCATGTAGTAACACTTGCAAACAGTGAATAAATTATTTATTTCAACTGTTCAATGCAGTCCTTATTGCATTTAATAAAATCTAGTGTGGACTAAATATGCCTTCATATGTGAACTAGGGCTTAGTGCGTGCATTAGTCTACTGTGTGCATTAGAGTCTTGTGTGTGCATTAGGGCTTAGAATGTGAATTAGGGCAAGCAATTGTTAAGCACTGACTTCAATTTTGCCTCTTGTACTTTTTGTACAAGAGGTATCAGACGGAGGCCTGTCGTGAACTTTGTTGCTTTACAGTCTTGATCTAGAAGAGTTTATACTAAACCACATTGATATTAGTTGTATTGAAATAGATGTCAATGTATTTATAATATGAAGACGGAAGGATTGACTGAAAGAAGACACTGCATAGTCTCGTTGTAGCCCGTAGGGATCTGATTGTGTAGTTTTCGGCAATTGATTTTCGACGATCAACTCGACGAGCAGCTCTTAGACGTAGAGCGGCCGTTCTTAGAATCTGTAGCTTAAGTCAGGATACTGTCCCGTTTTGAACAGTTTCTGTTTGTATAAGCGTCTTTCGTTTTTTTAAGTTTGGTTTAGCTGCAACCTCATAGTATTAATCATCCATATTTTTAAAACTAATAAGCGTTTCAAATTAATATATATTTTCTTTTTAATAGCTATACTTCCTTCAATGGTAAAACGTCATAATGGCCAAGTATGTTTCATCAGTTCAGTACAAGGAAAATTTTCCATACCACACCGTTCAGCTTATGCTGCATCTAAACATGCTTTACAGGCGTTTACAGATTCATTAAGAGCAGAGGTCTCAAATAAAGGTATTAAAGTAACATGCGTAAGTCCTGGATATATACGCACTCAATTATCTATAAATGCATTGACTTCAAGTGGCAATACTTATGGCAGTAAGTGATTTACATTAAATACATTTCATCATTTAACAATTTTTTAATATTCACAGAAATGGACAAAACTACAGCTACAGGTATGCTGCCTGAAAAAATGGCAGAACATATTCTAAATGCTATTTTACACCATGATAAGGATATTATTGTATGCGATTGGCAGGCGAAGGCTGCTTACTATTTGCGTACTCTCTTCCCATCATTATATTTTTGGTTAATGGAAAGACGTGCACAAAAATTAGAAAGGGAAAACATGATCGGAAAGAAAATTAATTAAAACATAAACTATTTGTAAACAGTAGAAATTTAAAGTTTGTGCTAGCTTGAATGGTTGTAGAAGACAAAAAAAAAAGTATCTGGAATTATCTGTTATGAATATCATAGAAAATATTCTTAATATTAATGTGCAAAAATAGAAAACGTGGTAAAAGTAGTTTGGCTGAAAATTTCACAATTGATTGGAAAGCCTACTTAGGATTAGTTTTTAATATCGACAATCTACAAAATGATCGTACTCAATATATAAAAAAATATATAAAATAGTTTTATAAATTCTCCTATGAAAACATTTCATAGCATCTTACATTAGGCTTGAAAATTAAAACTTGTTTAACACCAATGATATGCTACTCTTATAATAACTTTTAACTTAGCACATACTTTTGATATACAATATTATAACACATATGATAAATGTATATTATATATTTCTGACGAATTCATATATCATAATTCTTTATACATACGATCTTTCTGCCATTCAAGTTGGGACAAGCTATAGTTTTAGTTATCATAATCATAATTTTTTCTCATTTGAATACATAGAAGCGTAGAATTTTTAGCATTAATTAAATAATTTTTGTATTTAAATGAAATAAGAGGCACTTTATTTGGCATCGTACGCGTTGCTCAGTTCATCTGATAATAAATTTTAATTTTTATATTATGTACAATTTATCAATAACATTTCAAACGAAAATGCTATTTATATACGGTAAATAACTTAATAATAGAAAAATGAAGAAATAAATATTACAAATCGCCAAAGGTTACAAGGTAATCATTGTTACTTTTTTTTTTGTCGAAATGAAACACAAACATATTTAATTTTAAAAAGACTAAGAATTTTATGTATTCTTTGTTGGTCTTTTTATAATTCTAAATGTGTTTTTATTTAAAATGTAGCTCAAAGCGGCAGCAACCGTTGTCGCACCTGTCAAGTACCAAAGACTATGCACTGCTACATGATCTGTAAAATAATATGTTTAAATTATTATTTATAAATGAAAGTTCTACTTTACACTCATACCTATATAGTTCCATATCGGTGCACCCAAACTTATGCCAATAGTTCCCAACTGAACAACAGTGTTCACTTTACTGATAAACGTTGGCTCTAGTTGAGCTGTTACATGTGTTGCATCAAAGTACCTAGAAAGGGTTTTCTAAAAAAATATTTGACATATTTTTAATTCTATATATCAAAAATATAGTTTTTATTATTATAACATGTAAAGTTTAGATTTATAAACTTACTGGAGGTGGCAGGCTTATGTAGCGTATTACAAATCCAGCAGCTAACAGGAAAACATCACGAAATAGGATGGTACCTGCAAGCCAAATGGGGATCAGATCGCAATATCCCATCGATATAACCAATGAGCCTATCAATAATTTATCAGCCATAGGATCCAAAAATGAGCCAGCCTTACTGGACTGTTTTGGCCAACGCCGCGCTATTTGTCCATCAAGCTATTGTTAAAACTATTAAATCGAATATTTATATAGCTGCATATAGTTAACTAACTTACTAAATCAGTTATTCCTGCTACGGCAAGTAAACTCATTGCTAAGCTAAAGTCACCTTGTACAATGACATAACCAATATATGGTGATAGAAAAGCTCGCCCCATCGTTAACATGTTTGGTATTGTCAATATATTCTCACGTTCTATGACTTCTTCCATTTTTTCACGTACACGTTCTTGAACTTTGGTACGCGCTACCCGTATGTCCTCGACAATAAAATTTTTACGCTCGATGAAGCTTTCCCGTTTCTTTTCAATCACATCATGCAGCAGTTCTTTTCCTTGCAGTGTACGCATATGTATTGAATGCTTCTTGGCATCGGCATACAGACGTAATGTTGCAACATTCCAACTTTGATATTGACTTATGTCTAAAAAGGAAATGCCCAAGAAACCCGTTGCAGGTACATATCGATTAAGGCAGTTTATACCGCTGGCTGTTGGTGAAGAACTGGTACCAATGACAAACTCCGTTAATCCTTTGCATATGCCACTTCGGTTCCGTTGAACCTGACGGAATATTGTTGCAGGCAGCATTTTTAATTTGTTGTTCTCTTCACGTACACAACAATTAATTTAAAGTTTTTTTGTATTTATGATTATTTAAAGTAGTGTTTTATAATTTTTGCATTTCACTGTTAATTAAAAAAAGATCAATATTTAAATTACAACCGGTTGTTGTTTTGACGTTTTTATTTAGATTTTTTATAACGTAATAGCAGTTGACTCTGTCCCCGTTGACCCCGTCTCCTTGACACTACCATATCAATATTACTTACCGCATTAGAAGTTATCTTCTATTTATTATTATTCCCATAACGTCATGAATGGAACACAGACTTTAAATCTTGTTTCAAAACACTGTATCAATTTAAAACTTTAAATCAAATTTATCGCCCCAATAAGCTGCTGCTATTATCAATTGGCTAATGTGTGCGTGATTTATTTTTATAGTATTTTTTTTGCATTTTCTTTTGGTCATCTTCGTAGTTGGACAGATATGTAAAATGTCAAACTTATTTATTGCTGCCAGATTGAATTGAAAAAAACGACTAGACCGCACAAATGCTTGCAGTACCTCATTTTAAGAGATAATCAAAAAATATATTAGCAACACTAATGATTTATTATAAATATTGTTTAATACTCACTAAATCTCTTAAACATAAAAATCTTAAACTTGCTTATATTTCAATAACCAATTGCGCATGTGTCTAACTCAAATTTTCGTCACATAAATTAGTTGTTCTGTTAACTTAATTGTCATTTAAATATAAATAAAAATAATTCCGAGTGTGAAATAATTGTTCTTTGAAGCAATTTATTTAATTTATTTATTAAATAAACAAAATCGTTGATCTACATATTTAATGAAAATATGCAAATATCACCAAAAAAACCAGTAGAGTTGCCATTCAGAGCAAAATATATAAATCAGCAAATTCGTCTAATTTTAAATCGTTTCGGAACTGATTAAATTTAAACAATTTGGTTAACTTTTCTATTTAGAGTCTAAATTAGTATGGAAAGCATAGAAAGCCACAGTGTAAGATTTGAACACACTGAAATCATCTCTCAACAATACAAAATTTCAGCCCCATTCCAGTTATAATGAAAAATACAAACATCAGGAAACAGAGGATTTAGCATTTAGACAACAAATAAATTTAAGCCAAAGTTGAATAGGGAGGATCAGTAAAGGGAAGATCAGAGGATGTTATTGTTAGGTAGTAAAACTTGACCAGAAGTAAACTCGTAGTAAACTCTGAGTAAGGAATTATTGTAATCACGATTATAGAGCAGGATTACATTAGAGAAATGGACGACGATGTCCAGATAAAGGTATTGGAATTGAGAAGGTTTATACATTCCATTATCAAGCAGGTCGATGGAAAATTGAAACTCAGTGAAGTATAGCAAGAGGAAATTAAGACGTCTGGTATTAGGATTGTTAGAATTTCCCGGGAATATCTAGATGTGGTGTAGAACAAGCAATCATGGTCAAATAAATTTCTTTAACGCTGCAATAGGGGACAGGAATGTTCGAAGTAAAAATATAAAAAAGCATTATATTAAGAATGCAACTTCAGCAGCGACTGGGAAGGTTTTGGAACGAATCCGAAACTTAGTTCTGTTGATTATGAATTTGAAAACTTCAAAAATTATCTTATGAATATCGTAGTAGGTGAATTTGAAAATAATTAGCATCAGACCGTTGTTAGAGTTGGATTTACGACAACTGATTTTTCTTGTCAATGAGTAAAAAATTCCTTCTTATTCGAACTTTGCGTTAAAGTCCTTGAACATAATTTTAACGTCGAGGGCGATAATATTAGCATTAATTTTATCTATAATTTTTAATATATACTCTAATGAATATAACTCCAAACAATCCAAGAATATTGAGGCGAGTTTTACACTTTTTCGCAAAAAAATCCACTTTTTCCTTTGCTTCCTTATTCGCTAATCCCTGAAAGTTAAACTGAAAACACTTAAACTTAAACTTTTCTTAGCAAAACTTAC